ATATCAAACCTTTACAGTATTATGTACTTTTTTTGTACAATTTTGTATAAGTAAAACGAAATTTAGTACATCCTCCTCCCTATAAATTCGACCAAACTCGTATTTCCAATGCGCGTGCTGAAGTGATTTAAATAGGTACAACGCATAATATGATTGTAAAACGTCCAATTACCAGTACGCTGACACCCACAGGCCACAAGTTTAAAATTCAACTCAAAAACCTAATCAGTAAATTTTATACAATTCGTACAAATTTATAACCACAATTCCAAAATTATATCATCAGAATTAATTGTTGATAAAATTGTTGTTATTTTGTGTCATTTAAATAAAAAAAAAATAACAAATAAAAGCTAAAATGTTTATTTTTTAACTTTGAGGCTCGTGAGGGCATACACAGAAGATTTTTTTAATTAGTACCACATAAAAATTACTACGGTTGATGAACTAGTACGTGAATTTAAATTAAATACATTTATATATTATTATGTACATACAAAATACATTTTTTTACGATTTTTGTTTAAATAAATGATTACTCCGCCTTGGTATTAAAATATACGTTTATCCATAATTACATGAAGTTATAATAATAATTTGTTTAATGTAAAATTGTCTATTAAACATTATTTTAAGTATAGTCATTCAACCTGAAGAATAATAATTATCTGCTATAATAAGGCATTGACTTAGTAATCTAACAGATTTTGAAAATAAATTTGTACAAAGATAAAATGTATGGAGCTATAAAAAATATTCTTAATTTTAGATAATATTTCTGTAAAACTGAAAAAGTAATTTTTTAAATGTAAACATTATCATTCAATTTCTTTTACAAAAGATATTAAATATAAATATAAATTTTATGCATTTTTACTAACACATAGATTATTATTTCATTAACATTAGTTAAAAAGCGTAGCAACTTTTATTAGAACATAATAATTTTAACAATTTTATAAAACCATATTTATATGAAAAAACACAGCCAATTCTCACGCTTTGTGTGCTTTTTATGTACATATTTGTCTTTTATTTAAGATTTTCATAAATTTATAAAATTAAAAATAGGCTTAAAACTTGCTACACGATTTACTATTTCATAAAAATCACCATAGTTTAAAATGTCTTTAATTTCCTAGTTAAATAATAAATCGTGCTCTGTAGAGTTATCTGTATTGATATGATCGTTCCTACAAAGATTCGGTGTAATTAAAATTGCGAACATCTCAATCGTACGGCTGTACAAATAGCTTACACGTATTGCACTAAAGTACACTACTACAGCGCCTTAGACATAGATACTAACTAGTCATTTTTCTGCATGAACATATTTCTCATCTAATACGTATTTATATACAATTTATTCACCAATTCATAGGTGTGTATCAGATCATAGATTAAATATATGTAAATATGTTTAATTTATGATGTGACACGCTTTACTGCGTTTTCAATTTGCATTTTAAAAAGGGTGTGTGTATTAAAGTTTATATTCATTTTACGAACGTAGGTAAAATGTAAAATATAATAAACTTAAATTCAGCAAGAACCCGCTTTATGCTGTTAGCTATTATAATATCAGTCAGTATTAACCTATTATAAGACTTAGAGTAAGAATAATATTATCTAAGACATCGCATAGGATCTTATTGATGTTTTAATTTTAAAGTAAGTTAAGAGTATTTTAAAGTTTTAATACTTTACATTGCTACAACTTGCTTTAAAATAAAAATATTAATGAAAGCCTACGCAATGTCCTGGATAATATTCTTACCTTTAAGTTTAATTATTGTTAGATTTAGTCTAACATTAAAGCTAATAGCATAAAATTTGGTATGATGTGCGTCAGTAGGTAAGACGGAAATAACATATACACGGGCGCAACATAATTTTAAATCCGGTTTCACTGCTAGGTACATCGTTTGTTGTGTTATTTGTAGTCTTTGTACTATGAAAATACAAATCCAGATTGGCCATTGTAATTATGGTATCATTTACTAACTACGATCTATCATGAATTGGATAGTGGGTCGAATCAACTTTTGGACACGACACGACTGATGACGCAGCTGTAGGTAAACCCGGCCAAGGTACTAAGTGTTATCACAGAACACTGTGATGTTTGGTACCCGGTATCCTTTCAATCAAACCACCAAACTCAATCAATTTGGGCTTAATTGTTTAGAAAGAAATGTGAATAGTCTTAGTGGTACACAAAGTTCTTTCCTCACTCCTAAAATTCTCGTTAGTTCATCTAACTTTGGCTATCGCCTATCATACCGAGATTGATAAAGTCGAATATTAGTTTGTAAATGGTGAGAATATAAAGTACTCGTATGTAAGTATCGCGTACTTTAGAAGATACTATCATGTTGCAATGTCGCAAAGCTTTGAATTATGCGTGAATGTGTGATTACTTTGTGCCAGAGACTACTAAACAAATTTTATTTTCTGCTATAAAAATATGATAAAAAATCTATTATTTAAGTAGTAGAAATTATTGTATTATTAATTATTTCTTTCACTGATAAAATTTTAACCTATAACTAGCATTGACTAGGTAAATAATCTTATTATATACTAATGTTGACTAGCATTGAAAGGTATCATTGTATGTAAATAAATTATTTAAATTAGAGAACAAATATCTAAATCAAGTCTGTCGGCTTTGGCTAGAGTTTTTAGAATAAATAATATTATTACATGAAATTTAAATTACGGACTTTATTTTAAATATTTTTAGAAAACATTAAGCCTTTATACTCAATATAATTATGTTTTCAGTATCTGATTTCCACTCATGTTGAGTAATGAGTTTAGTTACCGATGTATATTGATGATGCATTCAACTGTTGAATAGTTCAACTATTCAATCGACAAACAGATTAATATAATTAAATTTTCCTTTTAATGTCACGCTGTGAACAAAATAATATTGTTGAATACATTCTTTGTACCAATAAAAAAAAATCTATAATCCCACAAATAAATCATTATAATTATTATAATAATTGAAATTAGACATGGTATTATTACTTATTAGTTATTACATTTGTAATTTCGACGACACTATTGACAAGTATTGGCAGTAATCATTGTCATATTGGGAACGGCAAAAATATTTTATGCCTTATGTGATTAGTAATGTAACGTGGTTGGATGACCTCGTTAGGTATAAACAATTCAGAAAAGGTGGTTGAACTTTTAATTACCATTCTACAGATAAAAGATTTATAATTAGTGAAAATTGGTAACTAGTCGGAGTAGTTAAAAAAAAAACATTATGACTTATGTGATTATTTGAAAAATACCAAGTAGATAATAGGGTGAAAATGTGAAAAGGTATACTTACAAATTACAAGTAATAATAAATACATAGAAAAACTGTTTATTATTTAAAGTAATACATTTAGGTATTTAAAGTACCAGTAACAATTATAATATATAGAAAACAAACATAACCGTAGTCCTGCAATAAGAACTAATAAACCTACAAAATAATTATTAGGTAGTAAATTATTATATATTTTAGTATAATATGTACATAATAGTAATACAATGTATTATATTATTGATGTCTTAAACATAATATAGTATGATTAAAATAAAAAAATAATAATACAGCAGGACAAAACCAATTAACAATACGGTCGAATTGTTATAGTATTTATACTAATATTGTAATATGATACATCATGATACATCGTACCTACCTTAACAATAACAGTGTAAAACTAACATTCTTATTAAAAACAATGACAATTCAAACGCTTTAAAATTATCATACAAAGTATAATATTAAACGTAAATGGTTCATTTAACGCTAATAAACTTCAGTTATGTTATGGGTTTATGACTTATAAAATACTAAAATGTAGTATATATTCCCATTAGATAGTAGGTATATATCAACAGTTGATAGGAAATGCCGAATTGACATTCAAATATATGTATAATATAATATAATATTTAAAAAAAATTGTTTATAATAAATTATTATATTGAATCTTTTAGGTGCAATTTTTATAATAGAATAACTGCAATTTTAATATAAATTATATAATATTGGATTACAATGCACATCAGTATAGGTTTTTAACGATTTCTTGTTTCTGATCAATAGGATTTTTGTTCGTCAATTATGGTTGTATTTCTATGAACATTTAAATTAATATCGAATAAAATAAAATAAAAATAAAAATAAAATAATGATTAATTATATACCTATATTTTTAAAATTTTATAGATTTTAAAAGTTAAAACCTATTTTGGCTTTTATAATTTTTCAGAAATAATATAAATCGTATCATTTTTTTCGGCTCACATATATAGCATATGAGATCCAGATATTAGGACTAATAAGTAATAGGTATTTTATTTTCAATAAAAATTGACTTCATGGCGAATGATAACCTCCTCCAGAATAATTCTTGGATTTTTGGTCATCTTTAATCTGACTTGATTGCATTATTTAATATTATTATAATTTGTATTATTTATAAATGTTATAAATAGCTTATACGTCAGAATTCCAATGTCGAACATATTTTTATTTTATTTTTTTTAAGTCTTTAAAAAAAAGATTAAAGATTATTGGTTTGTTATTTTTAACATTTTCCAAATAAATAAAATGTAAACGCTCGCAGTTTGTGTATAACTAACCCTTATAAAATTGTTATCATGGAAACCGATGTGTCTACTATAGTCTATAGTTATATTTTTAAACTAGATATCATACTTTTATGGTATTGATTAGAAGAATCACCGAAAATATGTGAAAAATTAAAGCTGCATATAATAAAGGAACTTTATTATCAAATTGAAGTACGTAGCTCAATATTTTTTGATTTGAATTTTACTGTAAATAAAATAAAATCTTAATTTCGACGGTGTAACTTTTAGAAAATTATTTGAAAGAAATTTAATTAATAATAAACATGTTAAAATGTAATAATAATTTACTCACTGCAATAATTATTTTTAAAAATGTACCGAAAAATAAACTAGTGGGTGTTAAATATATTTAAAGGTTTAAAATAGTTTATTTTTGTTTTACTAGGTACGTCTTTAAATACTTGAGATAATATATCAAACGGTTTATTAGAAAATCGAGGTGGTGTTGATAAAATATTTTGAAGACATTAAATTGACAAGTAATTATGAATGATCAGCAGCCGATTGGGCGTAAACTTATAATTTATATAATTGACGACTATGATAACTATAATTTCGACGGTTAGGTTAAACGCACACATGTGCAGTGCACTAATACCTAAAGGTATTAAGTGCAATTTTAGTTTTATTACATTATATTGAAATTCGTTTTTGAAAAAGAAGTATTTGTTTTCAATTTTTAATTAATATTATACATTCCTATAAAACTGGGGTTACCGAAAAACCAGTAATTAATGAGTGCACAACACAACGGAATGTGTGTGTTTAACCATCGATGTTCTACCGTCTGGTGTGATATATTATGATGGCATAAGCTGCGAGCTCGATTATAATACTACACGCAAACTTACTCGTCAATACATTACTTGTTCATTCGTCGTCGTCGTAAAAACTGTTTACGGCGGCGGCGTGGCCTCGATAGTTGGGTTCGAAGTACTTCCTCAGGTATTCCGGCCGTTCGCCGGAAGAAGTTTTGGCCCCGGCGCCCGTCAGTTGACTGTGCTCATCGGAGGCCGGAAAATGGTATTCGTCTTGCAGGCGGCCGCGATGATGTGGCTCGGCGTCGTCTTCGTCGTCGTTGTCGCTGATGCTTTTGGCGGGCCACTCGAATTCCGTTTCGCGGGACGTGGCCGGAAATTGCAGCGGCGCGGGATAGTATTCTTCCGGTGACGCGCTGCCGTAGTCGCCGTGGGCGGTGGGTAGACCGGCGGCGAACAGCGGCGGCAACGCGGAACCGTGATCGAAGTCGGCCGGTTCCGGATGCGCCGCTGGCGGCTCGAAGTGATGATGACCGCCGTGGCCAACCGCCTGCAGCGGCGGTTCGTAGTGATCGTAACCCGCGGTGGGCGGCGGAGGGTGCGGGAAGTAATTGTGCGCGGCCGGCTGCACCAGCGGCGGTTCGTAGTGATTGTAAACGGACGGCGGCACTTGCTGCTGCGGCCGCTGATGGTGATGGTACTGTTGGTGAACGTCGTAACCGTGCAACGGCTGTTCGAAGTGACCGGTGTAAGCGGGCGGCAGAGGCGGTTCGTAGTGATTCGTGAAAGCGGGCGGCTCGTACTGATGGCCGTCGTGGACGGTCGGCGGCGACGGCTGTTGCAGATTTTGATAATAGTCGTGACCGCCGCCGTGGTAATTGGGCGCGTAGACGCCGTCGCCGCCGTGGTTAGCGGTGTTCAGGTGATGGGTGACTGTGTTCGGGTGATGCGAACTGCCGATCTTCTTGACGGTCGCCTGGAAACCGTTTTTCGAGTCGGCCGTGTACTCGACCAACCTGATCGAACCGTCCGGTTCCATCAGGCTGTAGTAGCCGCGCACCGTGTCCCCGTCCCGTTCCTCGTACTGTTTTTTTATATCGCCGGTGTGCGGGTCGTGGACGCCGTACTCAAAGCGGTAAGCCGGATACGACTGCGCGTGGCGAACAATGCAAAAACCATAAAAAAAAAAAAATACAAAAAACCATAAACATTATTATTCACATTCGTACAAGAGTGATGTGTATTGTATTATATTATTATGTTATAATCGTCACCAAACTTTCAAGTGGCGACGACCCGAAATCCAGACATATCGTTTTTGAAAATTTTCCATCGACGCCGCCCCGAGGTAGTACGTATACCGCGTTTCAGTTAAATCTTTGGCGGTCGGGGGCAGAGGAGGATGCGTGCAAGCGATTTTTAAAACCGAACCGCCATCATTAAATAACACAATCTATATCGTATTATATAGGTTGGGATTACGGTACAACTCACAGCATAATAATGACGATTGTTCACTGCGACCACGGTTTCTTAACGGACACGCCGTGCCGATTCGACACTTTTAAAGGTAGGTAACCGCTTAATCCGAGTCTTACCGGCCGTCAGGACGAGGTCCACTAACACGTCATAGTCTCGCACACCAGCAAATCGGGTCTAGTTTTTTTTCGTTTCGGTCGGCACGTCTCTAAGAAAATCGGTCTAAACGTTTTCGATGCCATTGGTAATGGTCAATGGACTTTGACCTTTTCGATCGGCACTGCAGTGCAATGTAAAAGCGTTGTATGATGCACGCGCATAAAGATGGATAGTGCACCGTATTATAGGCACGCAAGGCGACCGGTTAAGCCGTTATCCCATCTGTCGGATTTGAACGCATTAAATGTCACGGTTGTTGAATTAAATGTCTGTGCAGATAAAAACGATACGTCTCCATAGGTTTTTATTGGGAAATCCTGTATTTCAAACCGTCGTGTTGTGATTGCAGTTTGCAAACTATATTTTAAATTTCTAAAACGCCTCCCTTTACGCCGGTCAAGTGCAAACCAACTACTCTTTAAGAGTACAATTCAACATAGTACACTAAATACAGTCGTTCCTCCAAGCTACGCTTAAGACGTTACAATAATTAACCACATAGACAACATCCGCGGAAGCCACAGCAATATATATAGGTACATAAATAAGTGTAATGTACACTATATGGTTAGACACTAGCATCACAGTAAAATTTTACGTTAACTCCACGAGGTCTAGTGTTTTTGAGGCACCTAATCAAACTACTAGCCACTAGGCACTGATTATAAATCATGCAGACGGATATTGTTAGAAGTTATGAGTTTATGACTGTTATGACTGTTATGAGTTATATCTAACAGTAATAGCATTCCGACCGCTCTGGCTCTGTTTAATAAAATAATGAAACATATTATGTATAAACGCGAAACAAATAAATATTACATTGTTGTCACGACAACGATACACAAAGCAATAAAAGTATGCATTTAAATAGGATGAATGATGGATAATACAATAATTAGCGTGTCATTGGTACCGCCGAAACCCGAGCGAGCTCCTTATAATATAATAATTAAAATATTAGTCAACAGGTCGCCTACCTATTTTGTATGATGACGATATGTATTTATACCAGTTAACAGTTATCAATATCTATATTGGATATGTTACTTATTTATTATTAAAATTAGATTTTTAAGAATTTTAAATGCGTAATGGTTGTACAATATACATTTTTTTCTTTTAAAATATTTATGCACGGTAGCACAATATTAATTTTGTTGAATAAAATAAAAATATCGATCAATTCGTGAATATGGTAATTTCACAACTGAGGCCGTAACATATTATATAATTTATAATATATAAACCAAATAATACATAATGCTAGGCAAGTACCTATTGTACGAGCACGAAGACGCTTTGCATGTTTTGCCTACTGTAATATATTCCGTTTCAATCCGTCAACGGCTAGTGACTGTCGTACAATATTTGTATGCCGCACGTGTATAACTACCAGCTAATAATAATTATTATTACACGAAACGCGGACGACGGCGGTGTGACTGGCAAATCGCGTCAAGTGGAACGCGCACAAGCCGCAAATAATTCAATTATATCTGTGTAATATCATTAAAATATTATTATTATTAACAATAATATACACACCGGCTCGTGCGAGAGTACGAAATATTATATTACACGGGTGCATTGTGTTCACACATCTATATCATTATATTATAATACATTGTGTTCTTACTCCGCGGGGACGTCGTTTTGTTGTACCTGTACGTTTCGAATAAACAAAGTATATAATATTATTATTGCACTTATACATATGTACGCGTATATTCTGTTGGAAATTTCGAAAACTGCCGTTTTACTTCGATACATGTGTATATAATATACACACACAGAAATGCCACCTCCGTCGATCCGAGTATAGGTGGAGAGATTTTGGGTTGAATACAGTGGCGGATTTAGGGGAGGAGGAGTGCTTGGGAGCTGAAGCACCCACCGTTTCGCGTATTTGTATTAAAAATTACTTATAATACGCCGAGTGGCGAATTTTTGGTACGGCTACCAGAATAAAAAATTACATTATATTACATTGTATTGTTAAGTACCTAATTATTAAAAAATAATACTTGTTAATTTTTTATAATTTCCCCCCCAACTTGTACATAATAAGCACTTATAAGAATTATTATTAATAAAATAGCACCTACCATAAAAAAATCCTAGATCCGCTACTGGTTGGAAATATACATATTATGTATCGTAATAAAACAGCAGTTTTCGTATTATGAATCTATGGCACTATTTTTTTAATTTTTTTTACCAGCGTAAGTGTTTTCATCTCAATGACGACCGAGTCAATATAAAAAAAAAACCCGATATATTTTTACATAATGTTATATCACCGAGTCGTAATATATTATCGGTCAAGAATATAATATGTGCGGTAATATTATTTTAACGGCGTACAACGATTAATTTTACTATATTATTATTTTAGTCAAACGGATGTCTACTTTTTTATACACACGCGAAAAACATGTCCATTTGAATTATTGTATTATGTTATTATATGGCGTGACGATGGATTATGTATTTTATTACTATACTATGTATCGTATGATATTATATAGTACGTTCGGCCGTTCATGGTTTTAAATGTATTGTAATAATAATTATTATCCGTTCAAAATGGTTTTTAATAAACGTCGCCATCCGGTAAAATACACGTTCTTTTCTTAGTCAACAAAAGATATTACCTATATATTATACAATTATATACATGTATATTGTATAGGCATCGGCAGCCGTATACATTGTTATACGTATCTGTCCACCTACCTACATACCTACTATTCTAGGTGTAAGTTTTACTTTTACGACACAATATATGAGTCTGGTTTGCCTACTTTAATAAAATTGTGTAGTTTAATATTAACTTATTTGTAAATATTATTGAAGTGTACAGTAATAAAATGCACCCAAATTTTTAACTTGACAATTATGTTTTCGATACGCGTAAATTAGTAGTCTTTACAAAATGTCGAAACCACATCAATTTCACGCTCTTTCATGCAAGTTCGGTTCATGGAAAATAATTTGCACATTTTTACTCAAATATTTTATTTATATTTAATTTTTGAGCTATCGAGGTATTTTCCTATGCATTCCTACTGCCTGTACATAGTTGAGAAATCAAATCATTATACTGTCACAACGCCAATCAACATTAACTGTTCTACCTATACATTATAAACATTATATACGTAGTGCAGAGTACAAATATTAAAACATATATATAACATTATGATGGACAATAATAGTATTTATCTATTAATCAATGCTAAAATCATTTCAAGTCTAGAAATGGTTCATATTAATATAATATAATATTTTAGTAGAAAATCTTAAATATGCAAGGTAGCAGTACGAATTCCAAATGTCAAACATAATAACGGGGCAAGAACAATAAGATAAATGCAGGAGAGATTATCGGAAGATATACACATAAATTCGTAAGTGAAATGGTTACTTTAAGTAGGTATGCGCCAATCATCTTTGTGGATGCCATTGATTATTCTGCAGGTATCTATTAATACAAATTAGTTGACAGCTAGTAAGGTAGATAGATATTTGAAATACAATTATCATTGTTCATTAAAAATAGAAAATATCAAAGAATGATTGGTTATATTATTCAATACAATAATAATAATGAATATCTATCTAATCCTAATTTTGTATATTTCAATAATACAAATTTCTAATGTACAAATTTTTAGGTATTAAATTTGTAAATGATTGATGTTTTTTTTTATATAGTGTGTAGAAATGTATTGTTATAGCTATATTTTATTAAAGCAATCAAATTGTTTTTAAAATATTTAGAATTTAATTTAATTATAATTAATGACATTTTTTTTTTTATTTATAAATTGTTTTAGTTATCATTCAACGTTTAAAATTCCATAATTATTCAAAAAGAAAATCAAAACATTTGGTGTTTAATATTTATTACTTACATACGTACATGTTCACAATTGGTTTTGTTTAGAATAATCATTCATTCATTTCAGTCTTAACTTTCTAGGCCCATCAGTATCTCATAAGTTATAAGTACTTAGCTATTCTATTTTATTCCTAGAAATTCACATAAAACCATTCTTTTCTTATGTATTAATAATGCGTTCATAAATTATACGTATATAGAGCCATCCCATCGTGTTTGACCGTTTTATCGTAATTTTATAAAAAAATACTGTGCCTCTTATATTATATATAATATAATATATTTATTACAATTCCTAAATTCCAGTGGTATATTTTTATTTAAACTTACATTATGATGATCATGATTGTATTCCGGTGCGTAATAATCTCTTTTTGAAACTTTCTTATCACTTGCACCGGCGTTTTTGGTAGTTTCTACATTTTCCGCTAAACATGTTTGTATGAATAGCCCGAAAACAAACAACACCGTCTGAAATAAATAATCACTAAATTAATATTTATTTTTTCTTTGCTTTTTGTCAACAAAATACATGTTATACGTACCGTGTTGCAAAATAATTATGATAGAATTGATATTTCAATCAAAAATATGTATTTTGCAACTAATGAAATGCAAAATAATCAGTTTTAAAATATTTATGTTTTTTTCATTTATAAAAATAATTTAATTAATCCGTTACATTTATATGTCCATGGAAATAAAAAAAAAAATATTAAGATAATAATAACGAAATTAATAATTCACCTACGCAGCTATAAGGTCAACGATGGTCAATTATAGATTAATAACAGTTCCGCTAAGTTAGATTCAAAATTCAAATCGTCTGTGTGCTGTTATAAAAACCATATCTGATTTAATAACTCTTGCTATTATCGATAACCTTGTTTTCCGATAATTTTTTAAATTTAATGTTCCTAAATGTTTTGATTTTGTATTAAGCTTAAAAATCATAGTTCTGTAAATTATAACACTAATATGGGTATTAGTATCGAGCATAAAGTAATTGAACCTAACGTGTATTAGTATAATATATTAAATTATTTTTGAAATAGAAGTTCGAATATTAGAATAATGTACATTAAATTCTAATCAAGATAAAATACACATATGTATTTGACAATGTCTTAAAAAAAATATATATTCATTAATTTTTCAGATTAAATAACGTAGTTTTATAAATCAAGTCTAGACCTTAGAATTCTAGATAGTTCTTTTAAAAAGTGAACTTTTGATTTTCTCAATTGCTTTTCTAGAAACGTATAAGAAGAACTACTGACAATCGTCGAAAGTCAAGAATTTTGGTATCCAATAATATATTAGTAGTTTTAAGTGTTTTAACCGAGTTTTTTTTTTTTTTTTTTTTTAGAGTGCAATAGTTTATTAATTCTTTCAAATATGGTAACACTAACACAAGTGTTGAACACTAGATTTCTGTAATTTACCCTGAAATATTCAGCATGGCTTTTAAAAGTTATCATTTAACGATACAATTACGAAAGTTATTACTAACTGAAAAATACCTTAATAATAATAAAATAATAATAAGTGTGATACCTTTATACGTATATCATGATATTTTTTCGCTAGTTTGTGATCAGATTTAGTATAGTAAGTAGTACTTGTATTGATTATTTGCATTCCCAAAAATAATATGTAATGACAACATATTATAACAATTTTTGATACTTTAATAATATACATAATAAATATATACTATTATTATTTTACTATACTATCATATTATTGGTTCATACTGTACAGTGTACACTATTTCTTATATTTTTTGTATAATTAAATTTTTAACGATTAACATATTTTGATATCCATACTAAATCTGAAAATTTAAATATTTATGATATGTATTAAAATTGTATTTTAATACACAGTACTTATGTATTTATTCATTACTGTAATTTAATTTTAATTAATTAAATTGTGATTGTGTGGTTGTATAAATTCAAATAATGACTATGAAAATATATTTCATTAATATAATTATACAAATTTATAATTTTATGTTTCATATAAAACATTTTTAACTTAAATATATTTGTATTATAACTATTTAAATAAATTAAAAATGTTTTCAGTAAATATGCAAATGGATTTTATTTTAATTTCAAAGTATTTAACTGTATTTAAGTTAATAATAATAATATAATTAACAAACTTATTAAGCAATAGATTTGTATTAAAGTATTTCACAAACACTGTATCGAATTAATATATTATCAACAAGTGTGGACTCAAATAATTTATCGGAATGTATGTAAGGTTATTTAATGTGCAATATACGATATAATTGCTAACATGGAAATGTTTAGTTACAGTTACCCTTAAAATTGATTTGTTATTAACAAAATAAAATTAATTTTTTCATTGTAAACACCATATCAAAAAGGTTTATTCAAACATTACAATAAGCATTTTTCCTTTTTATTATTAGTTAAATATCTGTAATTCATATTATTATCAAATAATCTAACTATTATTTGTACAATTTTCTATTTTATTCATGTTATATTAAATCATATGATGATTTATGAATACATTTTATAAATAAGCTATATTTTTTTCAAAGATTTTATGTAGTATTTACTCATTTGATTTGTACTTAAAAAATTACTTTTAAATGGAAATTACGAAACTGTTTGTTTATTAATGCTCAAAATAAAAGTAGTCAAGTTATAGTTAAATAACTCAAGTAATAACTCAAGAAATATATAAAAAATGAGTATTTATTTATTTAGCTCTTTAGCTTCTAAATAAAACATAACACTTATTTATACTCTACTTATCATTAATTGCATATCACCCATGTAAAAATTGTGTGATTAATTTATTCTACATCTTATTTATTAATATTAAGTTAAATTTTACGATTTGCCAAAGCATAGAGATTCTCTATAATAAAGAATAATATACTGCTAACTGTTAAGTATTATAACAGAGTAATTAAACGATGTTATTATAATATCGATTGTTAATATTAAAAGCTTAAAATAGGTATCGAAAATAAATAATAATATTTAAATAAATATTATTTCATAATTTTCAATGAAAGAAGTCTATATTTTATGAAATAGTTAATTTAAATATTTTATAATTTATACAACAATGAATGTTTAATAATATATTATAAATATAGAATTATAATTTTTTGTGTTGTTTTTATTTTTAATATAAAACTAAATACGTAGACAATTTTACAAACCTTCGAGTCTCTCATATCTTAACGTCTTCAGGTATAAAAAATTAGCAAAAAAAATAATTTTAGAATCTTATAACATTTTTTAGAAAGAAAATAAGTTGTTTAATTCGTTTATTTTAACCAATAAGATTTATACAAATCAAAAACACGTGTAAAAATACAAATTTTAATAATGTAATAAAAATTATTCAAACTAAACGTCCAATCACTTCCACGCGACTATTCATGACGTTATTTCCCGCCGACATTAATATATAGTTCTCCTTCTTAGCTCATTTTCACGTCCTTGCTCCTACCAAATATTGGAACCTAAACAATAATAACACGAAAGAACTAGAAACGATGCAGAAACGATGACCCCCTATGATGAAGTACTCAATTCTTAAATGGTTTATCTATCGGTTGAATGCTCTTTAGACAGATCAGGGCGATGTGTTGAGACAATGATGACTGACGTGGATGTTAAATTTTGTATCGATACGTGTAACATTTCGGTTAATCAACAACTTATCCCCCATAAGGTGTTTCAGTTCTATATCCAAATATGTAGGCCGATATAAAATGTTATGAAAATGTATTAAATGCGATTGCCTAAGGCTTTTAAAATTAGTATGTTGATTCATTTTTTTAACACCTTAATCTGCAAAGTAGAACTGGTAATATGATAGTTATTTGTGGACTATTGAGGTTTATTATACTATGGAGGTTTAATTTTATGAATATTATAATACTACATTTTTTATAATATACCTATAGATAATATTAGAAGAAAATGTAAAAAGTAATAATTGTATAAGCAATTATTTGTCAATAAATACGTACTTTGGGTAAAATGTGAGTACCTAATCCTTAGAATAATATGCTTAAAGTGTAACTTGTTTCATAAAAAATATATCAATATACATAAAAGTATAAATAAAAATAGTTATGTCAACTAATATACACCGTTACAATTAAAAAATATGTTTACTTATGACAAAAAAAAATAGTTGTCGGAGTTTTTGTAAGCTTAGTCTTTAAATATGATAATAATAGAATGTATAATAATGTTATATTTTTAATGAAAATAATCTATTGTAGATTTTTCAATTAAATACTTCAAATCTACATAATTTAGATGGTGTAGATTATTAGGACATTTTTAATTTTCATAGGTAATAGCGTGTGAAATGCGATTCAATTTTTACATTTTTGTAGAATATTAGTACTTGAGAAATAATAAAAATTTGTAAGATATTTTAAAGATTAGTTGTTTTTGGATATTCTTCTTCTGTTATTATGTTTAAATAATATTTATGGTAGACATTAAATCAATTTTCACTGATGCTATGTATAAATTCCCTGCTAAAATCAGTACCCTGCAGATTTCTAATGTCCTTGTATATCTTCCAATGATATAACAATTATGACGTCAAGGTAATATTGCTTTCCGGATCAACGAATCTGAAGGTCGATTGAATGGCCGAGTAAGTCTTACTTATCAAAACATAAATAAATATGCGTACTTATTGCGAAAACTTAGCCCGCTTTCTCGGGATCATAATGTCATCTACTTAACCTCAGACACGAACCGTCGTCAAAATATACAAACCTAATAATCACTTTTAATTGCTATTTATTTTAGAACATAATTAGATTGGCACCTACTAAATAATCAATAATTAAAAGAAAAAAAGACCGTTTACAATTCACTAAAGATTTTTTTTTCAACTTGTAAGAATTATAGTTTCAATTATTTGATTGTTAATATTATAAAGACCGTTTTTTTTTTTTTTGTATAATATTTTGAGTCGTTATAAGTATTGTATACCAACAATATTTATATTATTATGACATTATTTATTTAGATACATTGTTATAAATGTCTATGAATTAATCTTGGCAATCTCATAGTAATATAATTTATAATTAAGAATATTTTTTTAAAACAGATGTTTAATTAAATTATTTTGTAATATTATGATTGTAAATATTTATTTTGGTTAAAAATACTAGACGATTTATTATTATACAATATACATTTACAGATATTTAATATCTATTAAACCCGTGGATTTTTATATTAAAACGTTTAATATATTATGAAACAATAAGATTTCTATTAAGTTTTCCAATACAGTTACATAAAGTCAAAAATTAGATGTCGAATTTTGATTTTAGTACGAGAACGTCCATAAATGTTCATAAAAATATCAATTAAATAATTTACTGTAGTAAAACGAGATTATGAAAAACAAAAATTAATATCTCTACAGAATACTTCTTAAGTAGTATGAAAAAAATCTTAAGAATTTGAAAATACGGTCTTTAAGTATACACAATCGACCCTCAATAATTTAAAGTTGGAGGGATTTTTGAAAAATTCCTAATTACCAAGAGTTTAAATTGTTGAATAGTTCGAAATATCCAGAGAATGAAAAAAAAAAATTTGGATACAGAGAATTAAGAAAATAATTTTGTTTTTTTATTATTTTATAATGTATATACATAATTATTAAATATTTATGAAAATTAGGCGATATTACAGTAATTTATTGTTTTTAAAATATAAATTAAATTATATAATATATTAATATAATATGTAAATTAAATTAATAGACGATTAAGAAATTAAATACTTATGATAAAATTCTTATGATAATAATTCTATAGTTATTGTCTTATCGAAAATAATAAGCTAAATTACTGCAAGATAGTATAGTAAATAATCAACAAAAAGATTATAAGATGTACATTTGGTGAGTATCTATACTTCGAATTACTGAATGTTAAAAGGATGAAACTTTGAATTGTCACGTTTTAGTGGCCAGTTTTCCCAAATTTCGATTTCGAATTACCGAGTGTACTCAAATGAATGGTTTTAATTCGAATTATCACGAGATTTTTAAAAGAACGAGCATTTACTTCCAATTATCGAGAGTCGACTGTAGGTATATGAAATTACATAAATCAGATTTTGATTGATTGCTTATATTTGGTTAATCACTCCGTTTATCACTTAACCTTACTAACCATCGTATTTATTAATATTAGTCATTATTTTTTTAAGTGTAATTTGTTATAATAAAACAAAAATAAACACAATTTTAAATGACCGATAAAATTTTTAATTCATACCAATACTTATATATTTATCATAAATTTAATGTTTCAAACTAATTTTAAAATATTGCATTTATTTGAATAACTATTATCGATATTAAGATTAGTTCAGTTAATATTTAGGTCATGTTCTATAATAATGAATATGAATTATGAATTCTGTATAGATTTGATGAACATCGTGTCTAATAGACTTTTAAGAAACATTATTTTTATGGTTGTATTTGTATTCTATCATACAACTAAGGTGGTCGGCCTGATAGCCATGTTTAAAAACAATGTTATTGTCCTACTCCATAGGAGGGCTATTTTACACATTCATCAATCAAATTAATATTATCGTTTTGTCACAGTGGACAAATAACGGCATGTCTGATTAGTAGATATAGCTTTGGATATAAATAACAAAAAAATTACTAAATTAGTCACATAGAAAACTTGCCGAAAACCGATTTAAAATTATGTTCAATACACATTTGTATATAAACATAATTTATTTTACACGAAGGACTAAAATATGTCGTCACAATATTGATAGGTACTACATTAATTTTATTCTGTTCATAAATAAGCAGGTACGCGATAATTAAATATATCCGATGAGTATTAAAATATAACAACGTATTGTATCGACTTATTTTATGTACATAGGACTTTTTTTTTTTAATGTGTTATGTTTTTATTATTTTTTAAACTTATGTCAAAGTAGAAAGAAGAATAATAATTATAATGACTAATAAAGATTGTAATGTTTAAAATATTTTCTGTAAATACAAGAAAGTAGTTATTTTAAAGATTGTGGTTGGGGTGTCGCCATTACCATACAATAGATACAAATGCGCAAAATACGCATGGGATAAAACCGCAGACAGGTTTTAAAATGTTAAATATTTCAATACTGCACGTATAGGTATTTAGCAGTATATTTTTTATGATTATCATTGCATATCGATAAATAAATATATCTTAGCTTTATTTGCAAAAGATTATACCTACAATTTACAAATTTGTAATGAGTTACCTTCGACTTTCAATCTTTGAACCATCGCGCCGTACTATTTTATTCATTTTTAATTTTTTTGATGCAACAGTCTTTGATATTATTAATATTATTTTGACATCATTAATTTTTTAAGGCATAATTCTATGTAGGTTTGGTACCAATAAATCTGTGTATACCACACAATTTTTGTGAGTGGTATTGGGTCATGCTTGTAAGGCAATGGAAAGCGTCGTGTGCTCGTATGGTTGAACAAGTTATAATGTTGTATTACGTATCCTGTTTAAACAAAAATAAAATGCGTCTATTATCAAATATTTCATTGATTAATAAATCGAATTAAATTTGATTATGGGGGTAATTTTTATGACCGTGAGTTCGTAGCTAACCTTCCCCAAAAATCTTCATCTAATCGTATAGCTAAGCAGTCTGCACTACACATCAAGATCAATGATAAGGTCATCCTCATCCGATTAATTTTACATCGCAATTGTATAGTATATGGTTTCACTTTTTCATATATAGTAAATACCTTGTTTAATATTTTGTAGACGACGATCAGTAAAATAATGAGTTTGTCACCAGAAAATATACTTTTACTAGCAAAACCCTGAACTAATTTTCACACTGTGCCTTATTTTAAATACTCGTATCGAATTTATCATTATAAAATACAAATTATTTTATAATATTATATCGTTCAATGCTCTTCAACGTAACTTAGTTAAAAAAAAATAATCCTTGAATATTTTAAGCAATATTAAACAATATAATTTATTTGATGAAAAACAAATAATAAGTGTTTAAAATGCATGTATATAATATTAACACATGGATTATTACATTGATATTTTGTTATATATACGAGAGTAATATTTTATATTAGTTTCACTCCATGGTTGACCCTTTGACAACAATAATTTTAAATGGTAATAAATAATACGAAGAAATAATGGTATTACTGAATTCATTTATGTCTTACTCAATAGTCCAAACTTCAAATCAATTA